TGGCAGACTGTACAAAGGCAAAAGGGTTTAGGACGAGGAAAAGGCAAAACCAAACCACAGGTATCTGCTTGTCCAGATACCATCCCCCCCGCTCCCCCGCTTGTGAGAGCAGGCATATCCAATGAAAGAGCAGGGGACAAACCCATGACAAGAAAGCAGTCATGGGTAGATATTTCACAAGCGGCATCAGACAACTGATTGGAGTGAATAGTATATTCACTAGTAGCTAGTTAGTTTTTCTTTTCTTTAAAAAAAACAAAACAAAAAAAAAAACAAAACAAAAAACAAAAAACAAAAAACAAAACAAAAAAACAAAACAAAAAACAAAAAAACAAAACAAAAAACAAAAAAACTTCTCTAAACTCTAGAGGCAAACACATACTACACCATGGTGAAAATAATGCAATGGAATTGTAGAGCATTGATTGGAAAATGGGCTTCTGTCAAACCCTTCCTTATGACCCAAACATGTGATGTTTACTGTTTACAGGAAACTCACTTCCTTCCATCAGATGAATATGATTTTAACTTGCCGAATTACACAAGGTATGATGTTTTTGGCAATGATGAAAGGAGACAGGGAGGTGTGTGTATATATGTTACTAACAGGATTCCTCACAGACTGATAACTGTGAACACCAACTTACAAGCTGTGGCCTGCTCCATACGAATGGGCAGCTCAACCATGCACATCTGTTCTCTTTACCTACCCCCCACTGAACCTTTACAATATGAAGAGTTGGAAAGTCTGATTAAGCAGCTCCCGGAGCCCATGGTTATCTGTACGGATGCCAACAGTCGTCATATGCTTTGGGGTTCGGATCGATGTGACCGAAGGGGAATGATATGGGAACGTTTGATCAGAACTTTTGGACTCAATGTTCTCAATGATGGTAGTGCTACTAGAATTGATGATTACACTGGGCTGTACTCCCATATCGATCTGACAGTATCTTCAGGATCAGTCGCCCCCCACGCAATGTGGATGACTGAAGATGATCCTCATGACAGTGACCATTTCCCAATTTATATAACACTGAATAATGTTGTTGACCCTTCACAGGACTCAGACATTTTTTATGGATGGAACTTAAATAAAGCAAACTGGAATGAATTTAGAGAAAAGTGTACACTCAACTATGATGATCAACTGGGAGTAGAAAACTGCAAAGTTATGACAGACCTTATTGTCTCAGCAGCAACAGAGACAATACCTAAGAAAACTGGACATGCAAAGTACTGCTGTCCTTGGTGGACAGATGAGTGCAAGAAAGCGATTACAGAACGGAAAAGGCTATTAAACCGATTTAGGAGAAATAGAGAGGTCCCAGGACTATTACTTGAATATAAAAGAGCAAAGGCCAAAGCCAGACAGGTTATTAGGCAGGCCAAGAAAGACTCCTGGCTTAAACTCCTTAGCCTCTTCAATTACCAGACCCCCTTACCCAGGTTGTGGGAGATACTGAGGAAATTCACAAGGAAAACGAGATACAACAGACCTTTACCCGTACTCAGTATAGATGGACGTATTATCGATGATACTTTTGAAGTTGGGAATACACTTGGACGATACTTTGAAAGCATCTCCTCGCAGGAGAACTACTCAGAACATTTTCGTACACGAGTTGATGACATTATTAGAACTATGCCTGATTTCCGTTCTAACAATGCTGAATGCTACAATGACTTATTCACCTTACCTGAACTGACAAACGCCATAAAACGATGTGGAAATACGTCTATAGGACCGGATAGACTGCATTACGCTTTTTTTAAACATATGGGGAATACTCAATACGGAGAACTTCTTAAGATGTTTAACGCAGTCTGGACGGAAGGTATTTTTCCGACAGACTGGTCACATTCATACGTGGTCCCTATCCTGAAACCTGGGAAGCCGGCTTCCAACCCTCAGTCATACAGACCAATTCAACTTACCTCATGCATGGGTAAAATCATGGAAAGAATGATAGCTGAAAGGCTCAAATGGTATACCGAAAACAAAGGAGTGCTATCGAAATACCAGTGTGCCTTCAGGAAAGCACGATGTACGGTCGACCACATTATCAGACTGGAATCAGAGATACGACATGGATTCCTCTACCACAAATATACGTTGGCAGTATTTCTGGATTTTAAAAGTGCTTACAATTTAGTGTCTACCCCTGCCCTCCTTCTAAAGATGTATACATTGGGCTTCCGTGGAAGACTGATGAAATTTGTGGAAAACTACCTGAATGGAAGAACCTTCCAGGTGAAGTGTGGTCGATTATCACAGATTTTTGAACAGGAGAATGGAGTCGTCCAAGGGGGAGTTGTTTCGCCGATACTTTTTAACCTGATGATAAATGATATTTTTGAAGGTATTTCAGATGAGTTCTCCTATGCTATGTATGCAGATGACTGTGCAATTTGGTTACAAGGAAGGCATCTTCCACAACTAATAACAACCATGCAAAACGCACTTGATTCCTTGGTGGAGTGGGCAGATACGTGGGGATTTACTTTCACGCCTACCAAATGTAATGCAGTGATATTTGGACGATATATGAAAAGAACTGAATTAGATCACATTTCCCTACTACGGATTAAAGACGAACCAATTGCATACTGTGACAATGTAAAGTTTCTTGGAGTGTTTCTGGACTCCAAGTTAAACTTGAACAAACATATCCAGTACGTTCGAGCCAGAGCATTGAAACGCATTCCCATATTGAAATGCATATCCGGACGTGAATATGGTGCCGACAGAACCATTCTGTTGAGGATGTACAAATCCCTTATACGTCCCATCCTAGAATATGCCTGTCAGGTCCTTGATGGACCAGCAAACAATGCAGTGCACTCCCTTGAAAGCATACAGAACGCGTGTTTGAGGGTAGCTACAGGAGCATTGCGGACTTCTCCGGTAATGGCACTGCAGGTTGAGTCACATGTACCGCCACTCTTCCTACGACGTTGGGAGATGACTGTCAGATATGCCCTAAAAGTGACAGGATACGATGAACATCCATGTCGAGACTACATTGACGGGACCTTTACTCTACCTGACCTAGAGTGGGGATATATTAAGCGAATATCTGGATTCCCCTTCTATGAACGTCTGCAACATGTCGCCCGAAACCTTCGGATAGTTCTTCCCAATGATGTGACGCTTAAAGCCAGTGCTTACCCTGTATGGCAGCGACACCAGTGTGACGCACATAAACTAATTGAACAGCAGAAGGCTAATTTGGAGAGATGTGATGTTTTGCAGGCCTTTGAAGAGTTTAAGGGTACACACCCTGGATATCATTTCCTTTACACTGACGGTTCGAAAAGTGAAAGGGGCGTGGGATGTGCTTTCGTGCACGGAAACATGCAGTATAAAACGAAACTGAAACGTGACTACTCGATTTTTACAGCTGAGTGTGTTGCTTTGCTCCAAGCTGTACATTATGTCCAACATAACCAACTGGCAAACAGCGTCATTTGTACCGACTCCCTCTCGCTGCTATTAGCCCTGCAAACAAATGAAAGTAACCACCCTATGGTTACCGACATTAAGGATACTTTGCATTGTCTGAAGGAACACAATCTGCGGTGTGTAATCCTTTGGGTCCCTGGACACTGTGGAATCTACGGGAATGAACAGGCAGACCTTCAAGCAAAACGGGCTGTTTTACTAGATAGGACCGAGGAGGAGTATGAAGTGTCTGTGCAGGAATATGTGTCTTTTATCCGTGCAGCATGTTTTGATCAATTTAATAGCATGTGGGTAAACGATACTCGCCAGACAAACCTTAAGAGCATAAAGCATGTTACGGGGAACTGGGTGTCTTGTCGCCGGAATGTCCGACGTGAGGAAATAGTGTTATGTCGACTGCGGCTTGGACACACCAGAATCTCGCACTCGTTTATTATAGACCGTGATGTGCGACCAGAATGTAGTACCTGCGGCCAGTACGTGACAGTGCAACACATGTTAATTGAATGTCCGAACTACGCTGACCAAAGAAGACATCTCAGTGTACTGTGCCGGCACCATGGTGCGCCGATGGAGCTGGGTACTCTACTTGGTGACTCATACCCTGATATTACTGACGCTTTGTTTAAGTTTCTACACGATAGTGAACTGTTTAAGAAAATTTAAGATTATATTGTTTATTGTATGTTTATGTTATGTGGCTGTGATATGTACAGTCTTTACCGTTTTGTTTATTTTAGTGCAAGTCTCTGTTGTTGTCTACTATGCTGTGTATGAGTGATAATGAGCTGTGATGTATGCTGTGAAAGTATGATATGGATGAGAATGAGATGAATGAATGAATGAATGAATGATGAATGACAGTGAATGGAAAACATGAGAGTGGAGTAGAAGGAGTAGAGATTTATAACAATGGTAAATAGCTGCTACTAACTCGGTGATTTGCTTCCCCCTCCCTCCCCACCCGCCACGGCACTCGCGTACACTAAACCGCTACAATATATCGGTACTGACAGTCGCACACACACATATTCAGACTATATCAGTACCGTGCACAATCAGTGTAGACCACATTGCTGTGTGCGATAGGCCGAGCTGAAACACAGCGCGCTCCTCTTACAGGATAACAGAGGAACATATGTTTACTCTATATACTCTGATACGTTTTTGGTATATACGCGGATATGTTGATCATATGTGAACGATTGGCGTGATGGCTGAGTGCAGGCCTTATGAGTATGAGCTGATGTTAAACTTGTGAAATGTATGATGTTTGTTTTTCTTTCTCTTTAATTTACTTTATTTTTATTTTTAGTTAGTGTAGTTTGACCAATCACTAACATCTAACTACGGCAATACCAACCTAAACTGATAAATCCTAACTGGACAAATCCTGGCAACGCATTTCCTTGTCCCATGGATCGCTTAGTTCCATTCCCTGGCCATGACAAGAAGGAAGAGAAGATGTGAAGACAACTTCTGGACGCTCTGAGCCCAAGAGGCTATGCGCCCTACACCAAAACAACAACAACAACGTGGATCGTACGTAACCCCTACTGGTTCGTATTGGTTCGTATTTTATTTGTTGAATCCCTTGACATTCATCATATTGATATATGGGCGGTGAATGTCAAAGAGGGTGGGCTGATGTAGGTTTTGTATGTTTGGTGCCTCCTACATGATATTGATGTTGCATAATTGGATCAGGATAAACTCACCTGTTAAACTCACCTGTTAGGTTTCCACAACCTCGGCTCGTAAAGGAAGGAGTGGAAACCTATCAGTAGGCGGAACTATGGTCATGAGTACCCAAATTTAGGAACGTTCCCATTTTTGGGAACGGAGTTCCCAAATATGGGAACGGGCGTTCCCATTTATGAGAACGGAAGGCAATTTTTCGGCCGTTCGCCCACTAAAACTCAAAAGTGCATCACGTCTCAAAAAAGTGCACGCTGATTTAAGTATCTACTAAATCTCCATAAAGTTATCTTTAATCTGACCGTGGAACAAGGAAATTGACCGTGGAATGATATTTTTAATGATTTTTTAAAAATGACAGAATGGTGGAAATATGGGTTATACGACATTTAACATGCAATTTTAAGGAAAATGAAGCATTTTTTACATTTTGAGGTCAAGTATAATAATTTTCGCCTGGTTATGAAGTTTCATTCAAGCGACACCAGATGCTGACATATGCAAGCGAACACGCGGACAGTCCCGAGGTAATATTGTTGACTTTTGGTGTCGGGGCGATCGACCGCGTGGAACGTCAGTGATTTTACCGAACTACTGTTGTAAACTCAGTTTCAGTGGTTTAAAATCATTCAGCTGTATTTTATCAGCCCTGAAAGACATATTTTATTTGGATGCTAGCTGTTTAGCGTTGTTTTATAAGCAGCGTCATGAGCGTGGTTTTTGTCTTCGGCGTTTCTAAGCATGATCGTTTGGGGGGAATTTCTCTGATATAGGTCGCTCTGTGTGGCTTATTTATAATTTGTATGCTGATTTCGATCATTCTTCGTGCCCATCCTACCAGGCCTTTTGCCACTTACATTCATTAAGAAAGGAAAAAACTAGATTTTCATTGGGACTAGGTGTTTTGAGGGTGTAACATATTCAGCGTTCCCATTTTTGGATACTTCTTGTGCTCGTCAACTCTCGGTGATTAGCAGACAGGTGCTTGACATGCGTAATTCTTTTTTCCACCCTCGGCGCGGACGGTGGATATAGGTATGGAAGACCTTGTTGAACATCGCTGAGCGTTGTGGATTACGTAATCCTGCAGAGGGGGGCGTGCCCGCTGCGAGATCGACGGGAATAAAAGCGCAGAAGACCGGGCGAAACATGCAACGGTCTTGCCGGAAAGGTCATCTGATGATTGTTGCGTTACCAATAATTTGCGGCGTTGGACGTGATGCTGAAAAAGAGCCCCTGAAAGGCGTCGGTGAAATCGTTCCCAATTTTGGGTACGCCGTTCCCATAATAAGGAACGCTTGCAGCGCCAGTGTACGAGAGCGTTCCCAAATTTGGGCTCGCGGCCCGGGTGATGGAGGGTGGGACTAAATGCTTACTTCGAAATCTAAGCTACGTTGCGGCATTGGCGGTTATGTGCGGCGTGTATGCCGCATGATTAGTAAGAGGCGACCACTAAATTAAAGACTCAAACGCTCCGACCGGTTCTCAATGAATAACACTGCATACCAAAAATGCCAACCGCTCTCGTCATAAGATATTCAGCTTTAACCCTATTAGTGGCAGGGGGGTTGTTTTTATCCACCCCTCAGGTTTTTCGGGAATATCTCCGAAACCGCTGAAGCTACGATGCTGAAATTTTCTGACTTTTCCTAAAACTAAATTGGGCACATTCCCTGAAAATCTCAAGTTCATAACTTTACCAGTGGCGGCTCCAGAGCACTGGGAATTGGGGGGTCCTATTCGTGAAGCGAGTCATTTGGGCGAAGATCACGATGCTGCACCAGTTTTACGAACAGTGAATACAAGGTATCATGTGATAACATATACCTACAGTTATTGTGCATCCTCTTTTGACACGTTTTTGCTATAATAGGCGGATCCAGGCGTCCAAAAAGGGGGGTTATGTTTTACCTCCCAACATAGGTGCCCTGACACCGCCTATGCATTACCAATACAATGTTAGTCGTTCTCTCATAAGAAAATTATAACATAACAAGACCATTACCACCCTTTTTAGAAACAGTACCAACAAAAACCTTATTTACTATACTTTTGTGTACCCCCAATCTCAATGATCTGTATCCGCCTATGATTTTTGAAAATGCATATTTTTAGGATCCATGTGAATTCCTGGTTCATTCTCTATCGATCGGCAAAAGTTGCGTTAAGATTGGTCCAGAAACCTGGCCGTGATAAACAGTCTAAAATGTATCTGCAATTTGCCCGTTTTTACCCCCCTCTAACCCCCCTATTGACATTTTTTAATTTTTATTTTTTAGAAATGTAGATCACGTTGAGCGAAATCGAATGCCGTTTGAATTTTGAAAATCGGCCCGTTAGATCTCGAGATATCAAGGGGGGTCGTAAACAGCCCCCCCCCCCTGCCACTAATAGGGGGTAGCCAGGAGCCTGCCACTAATAGGGTTAAATAACTAGGTTATCTACATCATCATTTTGAACCAAATTAATACTTTCAACTTAACTCACTCATTCCTTCCTTTGTTGTCTCCAAACAGTCGTTCGATTGTCTGGAAATCGTATGCTAAATCCCGTACCTGTATGCGACTGGTGCATATAAAGGCCGATAAAAGAATTTGAATAGGCTCTGGCATGCGATTTCCTGGCTACCCAAAAAAGTCTGTTTCAGTCTTGCTATCAAAACATGACCTCGCCCGCACAGGGGGGGGGGGTTGATGCAACCCCCCTAAGGTTTTTCGCGAATAACTCGCTTAAAAAGCGGCTGATCGCGACGAAACTTTCAGTACCCTCGCATTGATCAATTTAACACCCATCCTGAAAATTTCATGACCCTGACCCAAATGACCTTTGACCTGTGACCTACTTTTCGAGACCATGTTTGGCCGGAACCGCGATTCAGCGTATGTCGGCTCGCATTAGCAGCGCGTTTGCAGTCTTTTCGTGGTTTCAAGCGTTCAAACATGTGATATGATGTTGCCCCCATGCATTAGGGTGGGTGTCAAGGTCACCTGAAGGTCAGGTCAGGTCATTGACCTTTGGTGACCTCGGTTCACTTTTTCGAGTTTGACATGTTTCTAGGTCAGTTTTTTCGAGCTGAATTCGAACCACATGAACGTTTACAAAGTAGTTTTGGTGCCTTCGTAACATGTTACGAGGCTGTCAGAGGCGGTTGACACCTACTACAAATACCTGGCAGGACCTCTACTGGTTGACCTGACCTGACCTAACCCGACCTGGCCTAAATGAATGAAGACATCATCTGTGATCAAAACTAGCATGATATTCGTGATCAGCACCCCGAAAAACCCCATAGCAGCCACACCACGACGTTCTAACAGGTCCCAATTTTCCCGCCTTTTGGGTCATTGACCTGACCTGGAAGGTCAACCGATAACCTAGGACCTTAAAATTGGGTATCATCGGCTTTCTCTCGTCACGGGCAACACGCTCGTTTTTTCCGCGAAGCTCTAGCTTGATCAGGAGCAAAACGGCAAGGGGTTATACCTTATACGTTCGCGGCTGAGTATTAATTTGGTTCAAAACAATGATGTAGATAAGTTAGTTATTTAAATCTAAATATCCTATGACGAGAGCGATGGACATTTTTGGTATGCAGTGTTATCCATTGAAAACAGAGTCGAAGCTATTGAATTTTTAATTTAGTGGTCGCCGCTTACTAATCATGCGGCATACACGCCGCACATAACCGCCAATGCCGCAACGCAGCTTAGATTTCGAAGTAAGCATTTAGTCTCACCCGGTGATGGACTGCTTTAGAAATAGGGGAACGATTTGAAACTACGATGGGCCTTACAATATCAAACTCTTTCCCAACAATATTGAGACAACGATCAGGCGGTTCACGATCGTTTTATATTTTTTGGACGTCATTTAACGGTTCTTTTTCTTGTTTTAAATAATGCCTACATGGCGTTCCCATATTTGGGTTTATCGTTCCCAAACATGGGAACGAAAATGCGTTCCCGAAAATGGGTACGCTTGACCATAGTTCCGCCTACTGCTATTGCGTGCAGAGACGCGCCAATTCCTTGGGTGGGCAGATGGCTGGACCTCAGGCAAGGAATTGGAATGGTGCGTCTGCATTTGGTAAAACACTGAAAAAAGAAAACTGGTGCGTGTTTTAAGTGCCAGAATCCTAGACAAGATGATCAATTATGTAAATGAGAAAAGAGGGTACCGAAATGTGATACGTTCTCGGAAGGAAAGGTCAGGATAGGTAACCTAGGTTAGTCCACCCGGTCCAGCTCGAGAAGGGCGGGCAGCAGCTACCTAGGGGGTAAGGGCGGAATATGATAGGTAGCCCAGGCGCGTATAACCCCGCCCCAACTTGGGAAGGGTGGGGCGCTTACCTGGGGGGGGGGGGGGGATGAAGGATGAGATGTGGATCGTTTGCCTTCACTTATCCTGTGTGTTCGTACAATCTACTGCCCAGTGCGGCTTTCAGTCCCTTTTTAAACTGCACCAGGGACTCCTCGTTCACCAGCCAATCTGGGAGGGCATTCCAATCGCGCACGACTCTGTGGGTGAAAAACCGTGACCTTGCATCTATAAGACTCCGACACGTTTTTATCTTTCTACTATGCCCGCGCGTTCTGTTGTCGGCCTCCAGATCCCAGAGGATCTCCGGGGATATCTTACTGTGGCCGTGAAAAATCTTCCAACATTTGATAATATCGGCTCGAAGGAGGCGTCCCTTCACAGAGAATAGGTCAAGTTCCTTTAGGCGATCACCATATTCCATATTGCGGAGCCCAATCACATTGCGAGTCCAGAGCCTTTGAACAGACTCTAATCTTTTGAGATCCTGTACATAGCCACTGTTCCAGATCGGTGACGCGTACTCGAGAATGGGGCGAATGTGAGATTTCAGTATATGAGTCATAAAGTCAGGCGAGCGACACCTGGTCGATTTCAAGAAATTGTGAGCAACTCCTCCAGCCTTCGCTGCTATGCTGGCACAGTGTTCATGGAATTTCATCTCGTTGTCGATGATAACACCCAGGTCACTACATGACGTAACGCAGGGAATTGTGTCACCAGCCAGTGTGTATGCACGGGGCTCGAAGTCATGGAATCGTCGCCTAAATCGTATGACGGCGCACTTCCTGAGGTAGAAGAATAGAAGTTAGAAGGCTTGCGATGAAGCTCAAGCTAAAGCGATTCCGGAACAAATCGCACTCGTATTATCTTGCAAGACAGATATTTCTTTGATTGTTTTACCAGACTACACGAAATCAATAAAATTATAAGCTTATCATCCTACCTAACCCACTACTTCAATCTAACACAAATTGTAGCCTTAGTTTGATCCATTGCGGAAAAGCGCAAGGCATGGTACTTGGTAGGTAGGTAAGTAGGTATTATTACAGAGGTAAGTATGTAGGTATCTAGTTTGTCAGCTAAGAAGAGTTGCATGGTTAGATTCAAAACAAAAAAAGAATATGACAGTTGCATGGTTAACAGTGTAAGCTGCAAAGTTCAAGTTATGATTATTTACTGCCTTTTTAAAGTTTCAGTGCCTTGACCTATCAAGCAAGGTTTAGATTAGCAATTTCAGTCAACAAGTTCCTGAAGCTTAGAAGGGTGTATTCTTCCATTTCATGTTCTTATTTTGCCCATTTGTCCAGTTTTCTGAGGGTGCAAAAAGAGGAACTTACCAAGTTCCTACCTACTTAAAGTTCTTTTTTAAGCCTGCGTAATTGTTAAAAGTGCTCTAACAAAAAGTACCTACATGTGAAACCTCCATAGCTAATAGCTATAGCACTGGCCAGCTGAAAAGTTTATCTTAATCTTGATTTTTCTTTTGACTTCATATTCGTTGCAATAGCTCAACTCATGCATTACTTATTTGTGCACTTAAAGTGATCACACAAATTTAAAAAAAATCTTATTAGGTATAGTCAACGTTTGCTTATTTTGAGATCATCTTGTGCAGATTGATAGGAATGTTCCACTTCAGAATTGCATCAGCATTGGGTTTTATGGCATTGCACTTATTGAAATTTTTTGAATGGCCTGAAAATGTTTCTTTTGCATGATTATGAATACACTTTCTGTTAAAATGAACATTAACCTTTTGCTCATAATTAAAGGAAGTTATGAGCAAAAGGTTGTTATTTAGGTATTCTTACTAGAAGTATTGTTACTGTAAGGCTGACATTACCAATCATTTTTACTGGCAATTTGCAAGACTGGCAAGATAAACTCACCATTAATCCATATTTTATGATTCATGTTATCTATGGTTCAACCGGTTCAACACATATCCCATTATGCTTGCAAACCATTACCATTAGTATAAATTGTCAGTTAAGGTACCAGTATAACGCCTTTTGGGGCGACTAACGGAGCGAGCGAGAGGGTGGGCCTTGCATGTGCGAAATTTCGAGGGGGTACCTCCAACTGACTTGTGCACTGCACCCTACTAAACGGTCTCTAGTGATGTGCCAAATTTGAGCACAATCGGCCCAGCCGTTCTCGAGATTTGGAGGCGGCACCCTGCACGTGCGCACGTGCAACATGGGTCCCAACTGACTTTTGCACGGCACCCTACTAACCGGTCCCTAACCGCGTACCAAATTTGAGCGCAATCGGTCCAGCCGTTCTCCAGATCTGGAATCGACCCCTGCACGTGCGCACGTGCAGCAGCACCCCAACTCTGGCACATGGATATGCAGTGCCTAGTGGGTGCCTACCTACATGCCAACTTTCAGCGCAGTCGGCCAAGTAGTTACCGAGATATTGCAACAATTACAAAACTGACACCTCTTCGTTTTGCACGTGGCACGTGCATAAGGGGTCACCCACATGCATCGGGAATAGTCTAATACTTGGTAGAAGGAATGAAGCTACCCTACAAAAATTACAGCATGTAAATCGGTCAAGTGGTTGCTGAGATATAAGCCTCGCAAAAGCGTCCGCACGGCCGGCCGGCCGGCCGGCCGGCCGCTCATACTCAGAAATTTCCGTTAATCTAAGGAAAGACTACGCTCGCTTCGCTCGCTCCGTAATAAATTGCAGTCAAATAACTTAAGAGATGGAACTGTGCAAAAGTACTTCAAATGTAATGGATTGAAAAGGATTGTAAGAGCTCAATATGTCTTAAATTTCTTTTGTATGGGGATCGTACTTCTCATTGGGTATTACAATTTTCAATTGACAATTTCCACTGAGGACATGGGTGGATCCCAGATTAGGATGCCTAGGTACCTACCTAACCTAATTAATCAAGGTTTACACTGAGCGTGCAAGCAACTTCAACTGTTTCTGGCAAACCTCACAAAACAATTTTTTGAGTTATTGACATGAACTGCCTATGACATCTAAATGTGTCCAATGCTTAACAAATTTGCATGGAATGTGATTTCTTAGTTTCTGCCATGAACAGCTTGTGATAATTTTTTTTATGAACTTATAAACTGATGACCTTTCAGATGCTTATTGCAAATCCTGTGACGCAGATGCAAGCTGAGCTGATCTAAGTCAAGTTTCAGAATTGTCCTGGAACCTCACTATCTCAATTCTTCTTTTAAGTCCTTGGTGAGTAGCAATGTCCAGCTGTTGAAAGTTGTGTGCAGAGCTAAATTATGTACAATAAGATGGACCTATGATTCTTGTTATTATTTAACAATATAAAAGCACAACATTTCTCATAAACATTTCTGGACATAACATGTAAGCTGGTATTTAATCAATTTAACCCTCGCCTGTGTTAGTGTTTTGCAGCTGCTAATAAATAGGGGGACTAGGTGAAGGTTCATTGGACCCTCCTTGCCGTTCGACCCCTGATCGAGCTAGAGCTTCGCGAAAAGAACGAGTGTGTTACCCGTGACGAGAGGAAGCCGATGATGCCTAATTTTGAGGTCATAGGTCATTGGTTGACCTTCCAGGGTCAATCACTCAAAAGTCGGAAAATTGGGACTGCTAGAGCTCCGTAAAGCGAGGTTGTCATATTTTTCGGCGTGCTGATCTGATAACGAAAATTATGTGAGTTTTGATCACAAATGATGTCTTCATGTATTTAGGCCTGGTCGGGTCAGGTCAGGTCAGGTTAATCAGTAGGCATCGTGCCGGCTATTCCTAGTAGGTGTCAAGTGTCAACTACCACTGACAGCTTCGTAACATGTTATGAATGCATCAAAACTACCTCATATTGTTCAAATGGGTGCTGATTTTGAAATCAGCTCCAAAAACTACCTTAGAAACATGTGAGGCTCGAAAAAGTGAGCCAAGGTCATCAAAGGTCAATGACCTTGACCTGACCTTCACGTGACCTTGCCGCCCACCATAATGCATAGGAGTTAGGACCAACATCATATATATGTTTGAAGGTTTACAACAACAAAAAAGGAAACGCACGGATAACGTGAGCCGACATACGCCGAATCACGATTCCGGCCAAACATGGTTTCGAAAAATAGTTCACAGGTTAACAGTCATTGGGGTCAGGGGCAAGACATTTTTAGGGTAGTCATAAAATTGATGAACCTCGAGGGTAATGGAAGTTTTGTCGAGATTGGCCGCTTTTTGCTCGAGCTGCTCGGGAAAAACCTGGAGGGGAGGGGGTCCGTTCGACCCTCCCCCATAGGTGCTCGGATTAAGGCGAACATTTTTAGTTCAGAGCTGGCAATAATGATCTATGTAAGTGTAGTCCTCATATTGTGCCTAAAAACCAAAATACCACGGAAAGTTATATTTTATCCAAAGGGGAAATTTGATTAAGATAGCTGATATTGATTGTGATTTTGCTTTTGGTGCAAAAATCTTAGAACTTATCATTCATTGTTACGTTGAGGACCCTACCTTTACTCATAATCAATGCCACAAACCTTTTGACTCAATGTGCAGGAGAACTTTCCCCTCTTTTAAAGCATTCCCCATGAGGGACGAGTTCAGCTTGCCTCTTCCCACACCATAGCATGGAATGAATCTGATGTTGACTGTGACCCTCATGCAGAGCCTTCGGGATCAAGGTCAGGAGGGGACGATGCCTCGGGGCAGGAAGCGGCCGGAGGAGGCGCAGGAGGCGCTGATGCGGCCGGTCACCAAGAGGCACCGCTCCAACCCCTACCACCAGTGGAGGTCAGTACGTGGGCTCAGCTGGGTGGCGATTGTCGAGTCTGTGTATGCATTTATCCTTTGTCGTGAATTAATTTCCACCATGTTGCTCAGCTGGAAGAGTATAGGACTCCCGGTGGTGAGAGCCCGGATTCGAATCGCCCCGATGTTCGACATAGGGTGCACCTGTTTGTGATGTTCTTCAGTTGCTTGGAGCAGCCTCAGTCGGTCGAAGTCGGTGAAATCGTGTCGGGCTATTTGGGCCCGCTAAACTTTGCTTTAAAGTCCTTCCGACAACACGGAATTTCCCGTTCAAACGTTGGAGGTCTGGGCCTGTGTCAGGAGCTCTGCTGATCGCAGGCTCTTGCCTCGTCAATCCATCCATTCAAGACATTCTAAATAAATTTATTTAAACCATGTGTGTACCCCAAAAGATAGTTACCTAAACTGGAAGGAATAGGACAATCGGTTAATCATTGTAAGGCTCAGATGTCTGTCACTGAAATAGGGTTGAGTGTCAAGTACAAACCAGAGGCCTCTTGCACCAAACTACCTAGCTAGGTAAAATCGAAAAACCGGTTTCAGAATAAGCTAATCTAACGGTGGTATATTTGTTTGCAATAGCCCAATACATACTCCTACATGTGCTTGCTAAATTTTGCACGCAAATTGTTACAATTGAGGCTTGGACTGGGTATACGTTGCAAAATAATCCAAGCATTGGTGCAGGAGGATTTTGGTGCAAGAGGCCTCAGGTTCGCATGAACTGCCAGCTTGTGGGGGAACGAGGCTAGACTAGCTGTTGTGTTCACGCGGGAACGGGCCTGAGCTAGAAGATCTACTCGGGAGCAGGGCTAAAAATCTACTCAGGAGCGGGGCTTGGCCAGCTGCGACTGTCGGCTCATGCAGGAGCTGGGCTTCTTCAGCCGTTCTCATAGAACAGGGCTGGGCCAGCCGTTCAGTTTTATTGGACTGGGGAAGCCGCTGAGTTGTCTGGGGCTGAGCTAGCCACCACAGGTGCTGGGTCGGCCGCCCGGTCAGTCTCGGGTAACTGGGCGGCGCCTTTGGGTGTGGTAGAGGCGGGCTCCGAGCGAACAGATGGTACGTTGAGTGGCCGTCGCACAGATGACATGGCGTTATAAAGAACTAAGGAGATGGTGAATAAAATAGAAATATATGACACACCCAACCTTCTTTCGTTTTCCGGTCGACAATACCTTTTGCGTCACCTTATGTAAAGGACTGATCAAATTTTGACCCGAGCGTGTGCGGCTATGGCCAAACGTTAATGTCGCCAGGCGGCGGTCGCAGCGCACACCGTTACGTAGGTATGCGTCATTATAGCCGATGAACATGAAATAACACCCACATCAGAAATGTGCTGTCTGTCCCCGTTTGTTTTCAGGCATTCTCTGATAATTTATTCCCTTTTTTGGCATTGTCTGTGACATTGGAACAGCGCTGACGACACTGTCCATCCGTCGGTCCGTCTGTCTGTATCTGTGTCACCAGCCGGCTGGCTGGCTATGGGTCTGACCGGTGGGGTGTCTGTGACTCTGATGCTGCCCGTGACACTAATCGTCCGTCTCATCCCCTCAGCAGCCACCACGCCAGCCACCACAGCAGCCACGTCCACGCCAGCCACCACAGCAGTCATCACAGCGGTCACCACGCCCGCCGGCCGGCGGCCTTCTCTGAGAAACTGTGCCTGCAGTGGTTCAGAGAGTATACCACCGCCGACGAGCCCGACCTGCTCGGTAAGTTGTGGTCAGACACACTCGGTAAGTCGTGGCCAGACACACTCGGTAAGTCGTGATCAGACCGAGCAGGTCGGACCGACGAGCCCGACCTGCTCGGTGAGTCGTGGTCAGACACACACTCAGAGGCAGACAGCCGTAAAAATTCCTGTACGCTCACAGACCAGCGAAATGTGGTCTTACACAGACATGATCTCAGATGGAGACTTGAACTGGTGTATAGTCGATGGCATATGCAGATCATTAACTAAAGACAGTTACATTTATTTATTTATTTATTTATTGAACGTCTTTGGACCATCCACAGGAGCCGTGGCTATTCTCAGTCCAGTGTCACAATCGCTGAACAGTAGTAAAAGTGGGTAAAAAGGTACATGCATTCCCATACACACATAAAACGCATAATAAAAGAAAAAGAGAAACATCACAGCGCAAGTTACAAGTTTCACAAGCGGTAAATAAGCCTCACAGACGATAGGTAACTATACCGGAACAGCACCTACTCGTACTCTCTCTTGAGGTAAAGACGCAAGTTCTTTTTGAAGGCATCATGCTTGAGGGCAGTCAGCTCCACCGGCACACCGTTGTAAAGCTGCGGTGCCCGGTACGCAAACTGGCGTCTACCTGCCTCCGATCGGATGCGAGGTAGGTAAAAACTGTTGTCCTGTCGCGTTTGTCGTATACGTAAATTCGAGCTTTTGATAAAAAGTGAGGCAAGTGGAGCCGGTTCTCCCCACCGGAGTGTTCGGTGGACTAGAGAAAGTGTGTGGTAATCCGACAGCTGTGTAGATGTAAACCAGTCAGGACCTTTCAAAATATCCGAAATATGGTCAAATTTGCGTCTCCCAGCAACCACTCTCGCGCAAAAGTGAATAATCTTTTGGAGTTGCCTATGATTTTTGCCAGTACAATTACCGAACACAGTTATACAGTACCTAACGTGAGAAAGTACTAGACCGTGCACAACTGTTGGTATCACCCTCTGAGGGAGGTAATGCCGGATATGGCTGAGGGCAATCAACATTCCGAAGCACTTACGCACGACATGTGCCACGTGTTCGTCCCATGACAGAGTAGGGTCGAATATCACGCCGAGGTTTCTCACACTCCGTTCCGGGCGTAGAGTCTCGCCACGGAAACGCACCTCGATCGTGGGGACACTGCGGAGGTTCGGCCTGCTGCCAAATACCATTAGTTGGGTTTTCGAGGCATTCACCTTCAGGGCATTAGCCCTGAACCACACGTCCAAAGACGTGAGGGAGCTCTCCATGCGCCCTACCAGAGCCGCAATGTCATCCTTACCGCCGGACACAAGCACTTGCGTGTCATCGGCGTATTGGACGACATGGGCATCAGGCGCGCAGAGGCTCAGGTCATTGGCGAACACTGTGTACAACAATGGCCCGAGGGCAGACCCCTGGTACACCCCCACACTGTTTCGCAGCGGTCGCGAGAGGCACCTTCGACCAGAAACAGGGTCAGTGATGGAAACACTCTGTGTGTGGTTTGATAGGTAAGAGCGGAACCATTCAGCGTCAACTCCATGCTGCTCTAGTTTGGTCAATAGTTTGGAATGGTCGATAACGTCAAAACATTTACTTAAATCTATCAGACAGAGTAGAGTAAGATCACCTCTGTCTGTCGCAGATAAAATATGGTCGGATACGCTGAGCAATGCAGTTTCTGTTGAGTGTCGTGGCCTAAAACCGTGTTGAGCTGAAGCTAAGAGATGATTGGATGACAAATAAGCATAGAGCTGACGCTGAACGACCTTCTCGACGATTTTGGACATGACGGGGACTAAGGAAATAGGTCTGAAGTTGGCTGGGTTGGAACAAGGACCGGATTTGTGAATAGGATGGATTATGGAGTGTTTCCACGCCTCTGGGAAAGCACAGTTTGACAGACAGGTATTCACGATGTTCAGCAACGGCACTCCAATCGCGTCGAAACATAGCTTGATGGTGCGTATGCATAAACCATCCATGCCACAGGCCGAAGTGTTACGCATTCCGACAATCGTTCGTCTGAGTGTGTCGTAATCGATGGTACCAACAGTAAAACCGCACGAGCCAACACGCGGGACACGGCATATATCGTCTGCGGAGGTCACACCCGACTCGGCAAGCTCCCTAGCAACGTTAGGCCCGACGCCGACAAAATACTCGTTTAACGCATCAGCGCTGACTGTCGGCGTAGCACGCACGCCCTTGCTATTGCCGATGACTTGCCTAATATTTCGGTACACAGAAGTCGGGCCCTGTTCCACTATGCGCTGCCCTAAGTTTTCTCGCACATCCCGGCGTATGGCGGATTTCACGGCGCGGTTCAGCGATCGGTACTCAGCCGCGCTGCCGCTGTCACCGCCCCGCCGGGCCTCACGGGCCGCGCGCCGCCGACACATCAACTCACGCGTGGCCTCTGTCACATGTGGGGCGTCTGGGTTTCGAATGGTAACTCTCTTCATCGGTGCAAAACGGTCGAATAGGTAAGAAAATGTCCAAGAAGCGCTGCCACTGGTCGGAACAGCGGCCTTCGCGGTAAACGGCCTGCCAGTCTGCCCGATGTAGGCTGGCATGCAACTCCGTTACGTTCACCCGGTTTAGCGGCCGGCAGTTCACAACCGCGGGCTTCGCACGAGGGCGAGGGATGGTAAGCGCCGCGACAACATACTTATGCGGGCTGATGTCGCACACCCTAGTGCCGCTCTTCCTAATAATGTCGCGATCATTCACGATAATCACGTCCAGCAAGGATCCTGTAGCATATGTTGGCTCGACAATTAGTTGCGACATAGAGTAAATGCTAAGAGTTACACACAACCCACACACACACTGCACAGGTAAAGGCGGACAACGGGCAGAAAATAGACACATACCTAGCACAGACGGTACCCACGTATAGTTGCAGTTTTTGTACGCGAGTATAACCACCAGATCCCGTCCATATACCTAGCAATACACACATACACGGATGTGCTGCTATAAGACCATCATTGATACCGTTTGTCGACACGTATGTTCATTGATTCGATCGGTGTGTTACCTTCTTTGTCCACTGTATGTAACTGATCATCAGTTGTCGCCCATTGAGCTGGTTAGGGTACCACCAGTGCTCTATAAGCAGCTCACCAAGAGCAACCACTGCTATATTGTTAACGCGACACAACCAACGGCTGACGGGCTGAAAAGCTGCGGAGAGTCCCGCTTCCGTCGCCGCTGCTCTGAACGAGGGACGGTGAATGACAGGCTACTCACTGTACGCACTAAGTGGTGAACAGCCGCACGGACAGCTGTGAGGCTATTCACCGTCTCAAATGGCTTAGTTGTTATATCCAGATACCAGATTAACCGAGCTAGTGTTGAGGGTGGGATTCTACTGCATCGTTAGCTTTTCGCCTGCCTGCGCAGTGCGTACATCCTTACCGGGACAGTGTACCGACGACTGCGGTGGCGCTACAAATCTAACGTAAACTGCCTCTCTCTCCCTAGCTGCGCCTCTCTCTCTCTCTCTCTCTCTCTCTCTCTCTCTCTCTCTCTCTCTCTCTCTCTCTCTCTCTCTCTCTCTCTCTCTCTCTCCTCTCTCTCTCTCTCTCTCTCTCTCTCTCTCTCTCTCTCTCTCTCTCTCTCTCTCTCTCTCTCTCTCTCTTTCATTCTTCCCTCTCCATCTTTCTGTATTATTTCCTCTGTCTTCCCTCCCCTTTTTCCACTCTCCCCATCTATTCCGTCGTGACACAAACGGGGCGGCCCCCAACTCCAGCCACGCTATGTCCAACAAGAGACTTGAGAATGAAACGACGTACCACAACGCAGTTGGCGGGACAGAGCGGGACACACGACGGGATGTTTTTAGATACGGTCAATGAACTCATCGGTGGGAGGAGTTAACTGCGTCATCATTGACGTCATTCAGCGAAATTCATTCCACTATCATATGGCTTTTCACGTGACACTGATGATTCTCTCAACGGGCAACATATAGTTGCGTTTCGGTTACATTGGTGACCGAAAATACCCCACCTGCCTCTGGTATGTGCGGATGAAATGGCATACGAATTGTTGAAAGATTGCAGGTTTTTGGCTTTTAAACAGTTTTAATTCGTTATTTGGCTAATGCTGCTTGATTGATGATTCAAAATTGTAAGCGCTGTCCGCATGTATTAACGTGACATTGACTACATTGACGTGCATCCAATTCACTACTCTGAGTCCCGCTCCTCACACATCACCGGTCATCCTATTCTGACTGCCCCTGTTCCCCTCCCCTCCGCTCCGCCGTCAGGACCGGAGGGCATGGAGCGGTTCTGTGAGGACATCGGCGTCGAGCCGGAGAATGTGGTAATGCTGGTCATCGCCTGGCGGATGGACGCGCGCAGCATGGGCTTCTTCACGGCCCAGGAGTGGCTGCGCGGCCTCTCCCAGCTGCAGGCCGACAGCGTGGAGAAGCTGCGCGGCCGGCTCGATCAGCTGCGCGCCATGCTCGACCAGCCCGATACGTTCAAGTCCGTGTACCGGTTTGCGTTTGATTTTGCCCGGGTGAGTGCGGTTGGGTGGCGGCGGAGTCATTGTTAGGGCTGGTAGCTGGACGTGGGGTGGATCTGTGATGAGGCTGGATCGATTTATGACGCCGTAGTGTCTTTTAGGTCATCGTGCAATGAAGCCGACAGGGCGTGTTAAAAATCCAGTTCTCGCGGCCTCTGAGTTGTCGCAACAATTGCCATATGGTTCCGTGGTGCTCAGGAGGGGGACCATCAGCGACCAGTGCAGCTGTGGGGAGATGGGTATGTGACCGATCCCCCTCCCCTGTTCCTCAGGAGCGCGACCAGCGCTGTGTGGAGATGGAGGTGGGTCGCGCCATGCTGCAGCTGCTGCTGGGCCGCAGCTGGCCCATCTACTCCTCGTTCCACCGGTATCTGGAGCGCTGCAAGTACCGCGTCATCAACAAGGACCAGTGGAACAACATACTCGAGTTCTCGCGTACCATCGCGCCAGACATGGCCAACTACGACGAGAACGGCGCCTGTGAGTCACACTTTACCGACTGATGCATGGCGCATGCTATTTCAACGGTACTTGGAGCTGTTGATTGTTTGATGTGATTAAGCAGATATTCCTGTCAAGTGCTGAAAGGGAGATGATAAGGAACTTCTAAAAAAAGCGAAATTCTGGGAAGCTTAGTTTGCATCATTTAGTGTGTGGCCAGCTCGTCCTTTTCTCGAGCTGGGAAAAACTGTGGCGTCCTCTATGCCAGTGGCCGCTCCACTGTGCAGAATATGGGTCATGCTGGTGCTGTTTAATTCCGGATGTCCTGATCAACCAAAAAATACGATTTTTTAGTCGGTCAGATGGGTCATGTTCATAAGGTATTTTTTATTACATGCTACGGATATATTTGAGGCTACTGGTGCCGCGCTGTGACCTCGTTCTGACCTTGTGCCGTCGGTGCGCTCCGCTCCGACAGGGCCGGTGCTACTGGACGAGTTTGTCGAGTGGTACCGCCAGGAGCACGGCTTGAACGCTGTCCCCACGGACGCCACCATGGAGCCGGTCTGATGCGGGGCTGCCGGCCGAGCCGAGCCGCGCCGGTCAGCCGCCGCACCGATACTCGCGGCGCGAGGTGAGCCGAGAGTCTGTAACCACGGCGGCGCCCGGCGGACGGCCCTCGGTATCCACTGTGTCTGTGTGCACGTGCCAGTGACGGGGGAGGGGCGGGGCGGGCAGGGACAAGGCGGGGCGGGCGGCGGGCGGGCAGTCCGCGCCCCAGTGATGGCTGATACGTCAGGCTCAAGTAGATGGTGAGTTCCTTACCGGGACGGGCTGGGCGTCAGGCGCAGAGCGCGGCGCACCACTCACTGTCTACAGTATAGTGATGGGAAACGGTGGACCAATGCATTTTGGTGGTTTGTCGGAGCTGATTCGCGCAGGTCGTAGGAAGGGAAGACACGCCGGTCGTGGACGATTTTGTGGGAGGGTTAGTGCAGTATGATAGGACGGATTGCGGTGAGGTGGGCTGGGTGGGACGCGGGGTGTGATAGAGAGCGATAGGACGAGCTGGAATGCAGGACGGTGTCGGCATTGTTCGGTGGTAGTCTGGGGAGAGTGGGACGGCCTTCTGACTGGTTCCCGGTCGGGCAGTGAGGATTCGTTGCGTGGCTGGTATTTGGAGTGTATCGTACCGGGCGGCCTCAGTGTGACTGTTCAGTGCCGCCCTCTATCAGCGGCACGGCCTGGGTAGGTTCCGATCCGCCTGGATGGTTCAGCCACTCTCTTTCGTTCGGCCGCCGATCCTCGCCAGTACTCCGCCTCTAACAGTCCTCATAAGTGTCTGTATCAAACCTCAATCGGATGGCTTCGATGCAGAAAACTAGGACGTTTTTTTACGTTTTCTGTCTGCATCCGTGCGTGGTCGGTTGCACATCGGCAGCTCCGCAATATCCTCAGTGCACTCAGTTTGCGTTTGACTCCACGGGCGTTTGGTTAAGGGCGTTACAAATGACTGCCATAGAGTTACCGTGTGAATAAGTTACGACTGTAAGGGTGTGAAATATGTGTTACACGGTGACTACACTATCACGTGTCTGGGTCACAAATATTTTTGCTTTGTTAATCTCACACATTTCTGTGTAAAGTTGTTTGTCGTTTCGCCAAGTAGGGCATGTCACGGCGCGATTCTCTCCCCTCGGCTGAACATGATGTACATTTCCTCTGTCTTTCCAAGAGAAACACCCCACATCCTGTTTTAGCAGGCTATTTTCTGCCACACATGATGCATAATATCCCGGCTGTCGGCTTTATTTTGGTTACGTCTACCATTCTAGATATCGCGCACTTGTGTTTATCAGGTTTTACAAAAATGCGACTCCTTTATAGCATTTGATCATAAAATTGAACAATACAGCTTCTTTCATGCTACTTTCAACCTTATTTCTCTTTTCTTAGGTATTTATTTTTTAATAATGAAAGTTCTTTGAAAGCAACCGTTCAAATGAATTCAAAATTAATTTTACACATGCCACCCACTATAAGGCACACATTGGATTCCATTTTTTTTTTTACCATTAGTGATTCTTGTGTGGAGCTTCTCGATGTGTGCCTATATTTAGACTCTGGCACGTAAAATTTGCCCTCTTTACATGGCTGCCGAGTGTGGGGAAGATGCACAAGATCAAACCTCCTCTGAACATTTTTTTTTTTAAACCTAACATGATACCTCTGCCATGAAACCTCGATAGAGCCTGGCTTTTGCGTGAACCTGGGTCCCTGGAAGACTCGTCTGATCCTAAACCGAAGTAGGTCTTATCTACCATCTAGCCAACAAGTCCCGCCCTGACCACCATTCAACATCCGTGTATAACAAGTGTGACTGGTGTGTCTCTCGAGTATACCTACATTAACTTCCTGGCTACTCTGGTACTAAGACCGGCCACGCGTGTGCGTGCGAATGGTGCATGTGGTGACACAGAGTGGTACTCTTTTGGTGATGTTTGGCGCAGTAGGGAGGCGGTCACCATTGGGCATTATCAGGTTCGGGGCGGTCGGCTGAGTCGACCCTGACCGGGACGTGAGGTCAGTGTGTCTGGTGGTGCTGTACCGCGGTGGTGAACGGTGTGGAGGGCCAGACTGCGGACCTGGCCTCCCCAACGCTTAGTTGACTGAGGCAGATGATAGGCGTGATTGTATAGCAGACGGGCGAGGCGGTTTCTTGACATGGTTGCCATCGGATCATGGTGTGGAACTGTGGCCCGGTGAGGCTGCGGCAGCTTGCAGCGGCGGGCTGCTGCCCCTGCCGCCTGTTTTCGGGGAGCGCTCCGCGTAGCGGGGCTATTGCGGGAAGTGTTGTGAATGACGCGACTCAGGCCGCGGCTGTGGCCGAGGGGATACGGCCGGTGATATGAACTCTGAACTGGGAGAGCGGTGTCAGCGCTGAACTTGAACTGGGAGCGGTGTCAGTGCTGCGATTGATAACGTGAACGGTTGTCCCAATTCTGGTCTTCTAGTCTCATGTTCCCAGTTAGCCAAATACATGCTGTTCCGCTGACGATCGAGTGTGTCGAGGATGATGACTGAGAGGCATTATGCACATTGGTAAGCAAAATTCGTAAACTGAAAGTCACGCACACACCTTGCTTCTAATTGGAACTGCGTGGCGGATCTGCTTCGAACTTGTGCAAGTCAATGGGTCGCCTTGCGCGTCGCGACTCGTAACAGTCCGAATGGTTTCTGGAGCTCATTCGGTTGCTTATTTGGATTTGTCAGATACAAATACTCCTTGCAGCGAGATCTTATGTAACTGTCTGAACATAACGTGTTAAGCTAGGCTGCTTTCCATTGACCATAGATGGCGTTAATTCTCGTCGCGGTGTCATACTGCACCGCACTATTTGCCATGAACTTCTTCAGGGACTCTAGCTTCTCTCATGTTTGTAATCAACCTCAAGAAACGCGTATTGCATCACGCGACGGGTATAACTCACAGCAACACTAGCAATTGCACACAATCAACCATTGCACACACAAAAAATAGGAAATGACATCATAACACTGAGCGTCATTTCTTAAACCCGGGCGAATGTGATCTTCAGGCTAGAGATCACATATGTAGCCGCCTTTTCGTTGCCCGTTTGTCGCTAATCACGAGCTGCTGTTTTTTTCTCGGCACAGTCAGGTATTGCAATCGCTATGTGCCGTATTGTGATGCAATCACCTCGTAACTTCCATCGGCCTTGGTGGTGCTGGATGTCCGCTGCCCTGGATCGGGGCTGCTCGATTTGGTCGCTACTCGGCTGGACTGTTCACTGTTCTGCCTTGACTCCTGTTGACTACCGGTCGTCGCTGTCCTGGTCTGCGGACTGCCGGGGCCGGTATCGAGCGGTACCACTCTCGATTCGATCCGCAGTACGCTACTGCCGCCGCCCACCAGCCACCGGCTCGAGATGGCGCCATACATGCGCGTCATGAGCGACTTGGCGGCGCCGACGCTGCCGCTGCGGTTGCCGCCGCCGGCGCCGCTGAGACTGTCGCGTTTGTTGGGCGGCAGCAGGCCGAGCTGCCAGCGCTCGGTGGGCCGGTACAGCTCCTCGGCGTCTGCGCTGCCGAACTCGGCGTACACCCGGAACACCTCCACCAGGAGGAGCAGCAGCGGCGCCACGGCCAGCACCACGGCCACCGCGGCCGCCCACGCGTCCAGCTGCACGCCGCGGAACTGCAGCGGGTGCGTGGCGTGGTGCCACACGCTGGAGACGAACATGCCGAGCAGCAGCAGCGGACACAGCAGCCGCCAGCAGGTGAGCCAGAACCAGCGCAGCTGGCGCAGCGGCACGGTCAGCTGCTGCGAGAGCGCGTCCAGCAGCCGCTCCGCGTCCAGCGTCACGTTCACAGCGCACACCAGCATCAGCGCCAGCACGATGTTGAAGTAGCTGTTGGCGTACGCGCTGACGGCGGCGCCCAGGCTCGGGCCGTCGTGGAACAGGTAGATCATCGTGTCCAGGATGAATCCGGCGCTGACAATCAGGCAGACGGCGGCGCGTGTACTGGTCGAGCCGAGCACAGAGAGCTCGCGCAGACTGGTCTCGATGACCAGCACGGCGGCCTGTGAGGTGCCCAGCCCGAGCAGCATGGAGAACAGCAGCAGGAAGGCCAGCCACACCTGCGACGTGCCGGCCTGCTGGCCCAGCGAGCTGGTCAGCATGATGAGGTCCGGCTCGCCGCCGTAGTCTCGCAGCAGATCCTTCAGATCCCTGCCCATCTGTGCGGCGTTCCGGGCCAGCAGGATGGTGCAGCTCAGTGACCAGAAGGAGTTTATAAGGAAGTTGACGAAGACCAGGATGAAGGCAGATCGTAGGCAGTCGTGCTTGGGTGCGTTACGCGCAAAGATGAGACTGTTGAAGCCTACACCAATGTTTGATGAAAGCAGTGACGACGTCGCTGCAAACAGCCAGCACTGATAATTTGACAGGTGCTTCACACTGGGTACTAGATGGTCCCAAACCACGGAGAAGTCCTTTACCAAAAGCAATTCGTTAATCATGATGGCTAGGGCGATGCAGGCTGGCAGGCCGAACAGCAATGGCAGCGTGTAAAAGACAAGATCCCAGCCTCCCTGACAGGCAAGCGCCAGCAGCATCCAACACCCTAGAAGCGAGAGAATCCCGCGGCCGTGTGCGTGAACGTGCTTTTCGTCGCTCGCCCGCTGCACGTCGTAGTAGTACTCGGCGGCGGCCAGCTCCCGGTTCTCGCTCAGCACGGTGTCGTTGATCCAGGTGGATCCGTTCTCCAGGTGGACGCAGGCCTCGGTGAGCCGGTCCAGCGTGGGGGACAGGAAGAGGGAGGCGTTGTTCGGCTGACACAGGTCCCTGTGATCTACACATCGGTCAATGGCGAACATCAGGGCGCCGCGACTCCGACAGGTCTCGTCCAGCACAGGAGTGTAGCACCCTTCGGAATGAAAACTTTCGTTACAGTTCATCCAGCAGGGTCTGTATTCAAAGGCTTCAATGACGTATATTCCTACGGTACTCAGGTTGTCCATCCAGAAGACGAGCTTGACCACCAGGCAGAACAGGAGAGTGTTTGGGAAGCCTCGCAATGCTGGCGCCATTTGTGGCATAAAACCCGCCATCCCGTGTCCTGTGAACTGGCCAAGGGCGGCTTCGAGCAAAAACAGTGGCATCGTGAACACAACTTGACATACGACGAATGCCACGGTGAAAGCACCGCCATTGAATTGCATCCAAAGTCGTGGCCCACGTACCGCGCACCTGAAGGACATAAATGAGCTCAGCGCGAACGCCATCATCTGAACGTCGGACTGCCACATGCCGCTATCCTCCCGTCGACTCTGCTCAATTGCCAGCTTGACATCCAGGTTATCCGACGGTGGCTGCTGCTCTGACGTCGTGCAGGTTATCAGGACAGATTCCTTTGGCCGTGTGTTATCCGGTCCCAGAAGCATTGCCGTGGATGGAGGAGCGGTGGGAATTTTGGCGTTTTCGGACTCTACCGTCAGATTCCTGCCATCGATGATAATGGTCCCGAACTCGGTTTCGATTGTTCTCTTCGAATGATCAGTTTCAGGGAACGGTCTCAGAGATGACGGTGTAATGGTGCTCTTCCCGATTGGCGGTAGGGTTAGATTTTTGGACGAAGGCTGACTGTTCGGGCTGAGTAAAGAGTTTTGATCTTTGTTTTCCATGATTTATTGTTCTTGTTGTAGGCAGTTTCTAGTACCTATGTTGTGTCAAATGTTTTCGTAGGTAATTAAAAGTCAATTAGTCTCAAAAGCAGTCATGGCTAAGAAAATGTTGTGTTTATCATAGAATGTTTTTACTGTTGGGCAAGCTGGATATAACCTTTGCTTTGGTAGCATTGTATGCAATTCTATTGAGACTGCAAAATTTGCCCCAGCCGTTATAAATAATACATTATCACTAGGTCAGGTTCCTTATTAGAAATAAAGCATGAAGAGCTGTTGGCGGAACTGGCGATTACCGCGCAAACAGCACTCATTGCAGGTGGAAGTTGGCTTACTTGGGGCAAATTGGGCGCAAACTTAGCGTTTGGAGACGAAAATATGTTGACCATTCGCTGCAACGCCGCAATATGCTCGCAGGCTCAGGTGTGTGTTGCAAAATCATGCTTTGCATTCTCAGATACTTCTGCTTGGTGAATCTTCCCTGTCATTTATATTGTTGAGCTCAAGTAGATTTCTGTACCCAAACATCTGTATTCTGTATGTGTGGTGATTTATCTTCTCTCAGCTTACTTTTTCATGAAATGAATAGACAATGGACATACTTCTAATGGTTTCTGGGTACCTATACCTTCCATTGGTACCTATACCTTCAAGGTGAACAGAACGTAAAAAAATGCCCCCTTATTGGTACATTTGCGAGATTTACTCCACATATTAACCTCATTATTTGAAAATTTGGCTTATGGATGCGGGATATATTGGTGGCTCTGTACTATCATCCCCTTCTTCGCAGGCAGACCCAGACAGGAAATCAATAGAGGTCATCGCCATTCGTCAGGATGCGGCAGAATCTGACTCGCTATTGCTAATCCATTTTTCGTTGCAGCACCATCGAAGTGCCTCGAGTTGTGTGGCCAGATTATATAAGTTTGTGGATATTTTTATGATTGTTTGTTGACCTTTTTTAGATTTGGAAGCGCCGAATAGCTCATAGAAATGGTATGTCAAACCATTGCATTGACTGACAATGCCTATCACATTAATAGTGCACTGCAGAGAGTCCCTCTTTTGAGGCCTCGTAATTCGAATCGCCTAACAATCGTGCCGGCCAGGGCCCATCAACATTCAGCAAACACTCCGGCCCTCACCATTCACCACCTATCCGTATATTTATTTTGGGAGCTCGACGACGACGGCAGGTGCTGTTTCCAGTCTCAATGAGTGCCAGACGACAGCTACAGGTGAACTCGCCGTTTGATCTGTCATCAGATCCTTTGGCAGCGGCGGCCCACTTAACTGCGCTTCCCAAGTCACCGGCCCGCTCAAAGAAAGTGCTGGAGGGGGTGAAGGTCACACAGAAACGGCATGGAGAAATGGGGAATTTTGCTCCATGCCTTATTGGTATTTGGCATAGTAGCATATCATCCACTCTTCCGTCAGTCATCCTCGATATTGGCGAAAATAGCGAAATACTTTACTCGTTGAAGCTGGCTAAACCGTGCAATAAACTGTTATCTACTAAAGGGACACATATGCCATAGAAAAACTGGTATTGAGATAGCAAATGAGTTGAAGACCCAACAACTAACTTTTTTGTCCCTTTATTTTTGTTCTGTGCCTTTGTGCTTATCAGCTTTCGAAAATGCTTGCATGCATACTTTCGTTTCGTTTGTCTCGTTATCTAGCCAAAGAAAACCAGCTAAAGCAATCGAACTAAAGCTTAAGTCATCTGAATGTGCCCATCGCTCACTGTCAAGCTCGGGTTGTCAAGCAAATTAGCCGCAATTTGGGTCGCCCGTTATAATTCCAGCGCCAGAATGGCAGGGCGTCATGCTCAGAACTGCAGAG